GCTGGCCGGTTGGCCGTGTACACATTCTCCAGGTACCACCAGTGCAAAGCCTGCCCAAGCCCAAGCGGGCCACCATGAGTGAAAGTAACCTGAAGATGGACATGCCACTGTGTAGGACCAACCTTATCCCTGGTTTAATGCCACAGTGTTGAGTGGGGTTACACCAGGCACATGCTAGCCCACTCCCCTCTAGTGCCCACCTGCTGGCTCTGTGAAGTTCTGACCTGCTATCCCGTGCCCCCTGAGACCAGGGCAGGGTGCCGCTGATGGAGATGGAGCTAGGCCTAGACAGTGCTTGCTTCAGCACAGCCAGGGGCAGGCACTAAATGTTGGGATCTGCATGGCCCCCCCAAACCCTTCTGCACTGCTTTGGAGGCCAACTTCACTCCTGGCTTGAGGGGCTGCTTTCCAGGTTTGGTGTTTTCCCTTCCCTTCCTTGAACCTGGTGCAGATGTGCATTGGGTTCTGCTTAACAGGAGCCCATCACCATCTCAGACACCTGCAGGTCACTCCATCTCAGGGCGTTAAGTGCTTCAGGGATCCCATTTCGAGTGGGAAGGGCAGGGCGGAAACTGACTGATTAGATGCAAGGCAGTTCATCCCCATTCCTCTCTCCTTCCCAGGCCAAGAATCTGCTGCTCCCTTTGCTCTCACGCCCATAAACCCACCAGTCACAGAGCTCGTGCGGCCCCCGCCACGTTGCCCGCTCAGTACCCTGCCGTGAAAGAGCTGTTGTAGGTTTGGGTGTGGAAGCAGGAACTGCGAGACGTGCTGGTGAGGGTATAGGCAAAGTAGGCAACCGCAGAGCCCAGAGTCAAGCCGGTCATGTAGGACACTGTCATGGTGTTACCTGGGGGAGAAATCAGGATGTTAATGCTGTGCTCTGATTGCTCCGCAATCACCTTGCTACTAGCACTGGGGTGTGGGGCAGAGATTCCCACCAGCTCTTGCTGTGATCCCTGACTTGCTCTTCAGAGCATCAGATCCATAACCCTGGCCCAGGGCAGGTGCCAGTGCTGCCAGGCTGAGGTATACCTCAGGGGGCACCAATCACCCATTTGCACTCAGGAACAGAAAGGCACAGGGCTCTGGGCCCACGGTGAGTTTGCTGGGATGGGGAGCAGGACCCAAGACTGCCCTCTGGCTGTCCCCTGTAGGCTAAGGCATGGCAGGACAAGCCCTACGCAGACCTCCCATCCTTCAGCCAGGCCAAAGACCAAGCAGGGAGAGTGCCCCAGCACTGATGCTCCTGGAGCCAGGATTTCCCCTGGTGACCCAGTTTGATGCATGTGGCATTTCCCCCAGTTCCTGCTGTAGTTGAACATCCCCACTTCCCACACTACAGCTGTACATGTGGGAAACATCTGGGCCAAGCTGCTGCCTCCAGTGGCAGGGAGCTGTAGGTTTGTTTCTGGGGCAAAATAGAAGAGATCTGTGGCACGGGAGGACTTTCTGATCTGCTTACCCTGGCAGGAGGATGACCTGGGGGCAATCGGGTTACAGAGGGAGAAGCAGAGACAGAACGTGGTGCCCAATACCACTGGCAGCCACCTGTCAGCCAGGCACAGACACGCGATGGTGCATGACCATGACAAAACCCAGCTAGAAGCTCAGTGGGCAGGGGGGTCCTAACCCGGAGCAGTGGTAGGGGTACAGCCTGGTGTCCCTCTAACCGCGGCAGCCACAAAGGGAACACTAGGTGGGATGACAGCAACCCTGGCCTTGCCTGCTGGCTCTAGACACGTCCACATGTGGTCCCCCTACCTGCCAGTTCTCGCTGTTCGGGGCCCACTTTGCCAGCAGCAAGGATCATGGGGACGCTGCCAAAGTACCCATTGGTGATGCCCATGAGGAGGGAGAAGATGCAGGGCCATGCAGGGTGCCCAAAAGCCGGCTTCCCGTTAGGGTACACACACATGATGAAGAGAGGGATGAAAATCACTCTGAGGCAGGAGTAGATGAGGAGGTGGGTCCCTCTCCAGTCATAGGGCAGGGCAGCCAGGATCTGAAACAAGGAGGCGACATCACACTGGAAAGCGAAGCAACTTATGGAGCAAAATCCAGAGCAATAAGGAGCAAGGCCATTGAGAAGGCCCAGCTAGACTGAGCAGTAGCAAAACCAGATTCCAGAACAGGAAAGCCACCAGAAACGAGGTTGCCACCACAGGACCTCAAGGAAACCCGACCTAGACAGTTCTCATCAGCAGCCCATCGCCATTCAGACCAGAGCTGAGGTTCACAGATGCACTGTGCCTGTAATATTGTGGCAGGGTAACAGATGAACCTGTATGAACCCACTGGTTTTCTAATGGCCCAGGTGGGAGGAATGGACAGGAGGGGGCTGGCGCTCTCCCTGGCCATGGACTGAATCTTCTCTGTGGTGGGTAGAATGGCCCTGAGCCCAGCCCTGGTCCTTAATAACCCGACGCCCCTGACACGTCACCCGTTGGCCAGGAAGCCCAAGCACCCACTCCGGTTGAGGCTATCCCTACCTTGCCTACGAAGTCGGAGAGGTTGAAGATAGCCATGATTAAGATGGGGAGCCACTCCCCAAGAGTGCAGTTGCGGATCTCCGACTCCAACCCAGGAAAGAGGCACAGAGTGATGAAGTAGGTCATGGCTATGGAGAGCATGTAGGCCCAGATCACCCTGAACACGACGTAGCGGTGGAGCATCATGTCTGGAGGAGGACACCAAAGCCACCTGTCAGGTCTGTTATGAAACCTAGGTGCTTAGGAAAGGGAAGGAGCACACTTCACAGGCTGAGCCGGTTATGGCTGCCCTGAGCTCCCGCAGGTCAGGGCTGCAACAATCCAGCTGGGGTGCAGCAACTCCAACGAGCCTGCTTCCACGATGGGGATGCCCAGCCTCTCTCGGTCCGAGCGTGCACCCTCACAAAGCAATTCTGCTTTCCTTTGTACTGTTGTCTTAGAGACCACCAGAAAGCAGGGAAGGGGGACGGGGTCTTCCCTGAACCTGCTCTCTGTGCTCAAGCGCAGATGCTACTGTGGGGCTGCTGCCACTAGGGAACAGGCTCACTGGTGCCATCCCTGGTGCCCCATTCACTGCCTGCCCTGCCCAGATACGATACTGTCATGTCAAAGACTCCCAGGGGCACCAATCCACTCCCCTCCCTGTCCCCTAGATACTCTATCAGGTAAGGGGGCTCCAATGGCTGGCAGTGCCGGGCTATTCCTATCACAGCAAAGATTTTCGGGTTGGAGGTGGCAGATTCTGGCACCCTCTCTAAGATGGCACCCAAGGCTGTGTCCTGCTTGCCTCCTGCCCCAAGTTACACCACTGCATACAGGCACTGCCCCACCCTTGCTGTGAGATGGCACAGTGGGATGTCATGTCATGTCATTCCCCCACCTTGGGCTACACATTCCTTTCCCTCCTGTTGTACCACGTGAGAAGCATTGCGTGGCTCCTATGTCCCACCCCAGAGGCAGCCGCATGTCTGCGTCTAGAGTGGGGATGAAAGGGCTGCCATCCCAGCGTGAGCGCACAGGTTGTGGGGGCACACAGAAGTGTCCTACCTCTGAAGCTGGGCCAGGTCCTTTTGATTTTTGGTCGTGGGACATCAAACCTCATGTAGGTCCCACTGCCGGCCAGCTCGGTTTCGTGCCCCAGGCTGCCTGTCGGGGAGCCGGCCAGCCCACGAGGCCGGTTCTCCTGGGGAAAGCAACAGAGAGGAGCAGGGGGTCTGTGAGGGGTTTGCCAAAGGTGACTTCAGAGGTGGGGGGAGAAGTCCTGGGGAATTGTTCCACTTCTCCCTCAGGCCACACAAGGCTGGGACAGAAGCAAATCAGGGGTGGCAAAGAGAGGAAGCAGACGAGAAGCTGGACTAGCTACATGCATGGTAGGACACCCTTAATGCATAGACCTACATACTGTGCCATGGCTGCTCTCTGCACCCAGGCACCGGCAGAGGGCACCACACACCTCCTCGAAGAGGGATTCTCCCCCATTTTCCCCTGCAATGTGCGGCAGGTCTTGCAGACCATCTCCCCTCCAAGTAATGTCTGCGCAGCCCCGCAGCCATGAGATGGCATCCTCAATTGCACAGCACATCCCCTAGGCCCACTGTCGACTGCTGTATGTCCCTGTGGTCCCCTCAGCATTTCCATGCATAGGACAGTAAAGTCAGGAGTATCTCTAGGGTGCTGGTCTTCCACATAATGCCCCAGCCCTGGCCATTGGGCAGACCACCAGAAAGTGCTGCTCCAGCCGGTGTCTAGAAGCTGCAGCCTGGAAGCTGTTGGATCTGCAGAAGCCTGGCCAGGCGCATTTCTGAATATCACTCATGAGGGGCTTCCCAGACCCTCAAAAGTCACTCCCACCCCAGTCCTCCAGCGGGGAACCCACCCAATCCCAGAATGCCTGGGTCACTTCAAGGGGGACTTTTCATTTCTCCCAGCTTGTCTCACTTCCTTCAGCTGCAGAATCCCCCAGGCATCAAAATGCCCCAGGCCTCCGCCCACGTCCCAGAGGCAGGGAAACTCACAAATCGGACGTCCTCTGTAGTGACATCGTGGTGCACCCTGTATCCAGTCCCCCGGTCCGGCACCCCTTTGCCATCAGGGCCCCGCTCTCGGGAGCAGGCTGTGTAGTACCTGACAAAGTGTGTGCGCTTCACCAGCAAGTGGAGGATGAAGCACATGAGCTCCATGCCGATGGAGATGAAGAAGAAGATGATGGTGTTCTCCTTTTCATCCGACAGCAGGAGCTTGGTGAAGATGCGGCTCAGGGAGATGATGACCCCAGCAGTGCCTGAACAGAAAAGAGCAAATTCAGTGACGGCACTTTTGGGGTCTCAGTGGCAGCAGAGGCATTTGGGGGTGGGCTAGAAACCTAGGCTTCCTACATCAAGGCTCACAGCAGTAGGGCTGGAAGGGACCTCCTGCGGTCATCTAGTCCAGCTGCCTGCTCAAGGCAGGAAGGAGAAAACCCATCAAAGAAATTAGAGGGGACCCAGCATCCACTCCAGAGTAGGACTGCCTGCAGAGAGGGCTGGTAATGTGCTGCCAGGGCTGGTGTAGGAAGGAATGGAAAGTTCAGGTGGGCCAACCTCTGGTGGATGAGAAAGGACCCAAGCTCCGACATCACAGCACATCACTCCCCTTGCAAACGAGGAAGCCAATAATATTCATTCAACACCTTGTCTCTGGGGGCTCAAGCAACAGAAACAATCCTGTTGGGAGGTAGCACATTAAAGCTGGCTCTCACGCGGGCTCCTGTTTGGATGGGGTGAGGTGTTGGCTGAGTGCCCATGCCCACCCACCTGCCAGCAGGCCCCTCGGCTGGCGTGCACCAGGGGATGAGGACGGATCAGCTGTGACCCAGGCCCTGTGTGGCAGGAGCCAACTTCCAACAGGAAATCTCACTCTCCAGCAGCAGATGAGCTGCTCCATGGGAGGGGGAGGCAAGACCCATTCCCCCTCGCCTTGTTCTCTTGGAAGTTACTGGAGAAGAGCCAGGCCACAGGGCTCAGGACACAGTACCTCCATGTCAGGAGGTGTCACACACCCATGTGACCACCCCCTGCTCACACCAGCACCCTGGCCAATGCTTTATTACATGCTCCCAGGCTGCAGACATGCCCAGCAATGGTAAACTGGCCATGGCAGGCCCTCTGCACTGGGCACTGCTCCTTGTAGCAGTGCCCCAGAGGGGTGCTGGGAAGGCCATTCTTTCTTGCCTGCGTGCCCACTGCAATCATGTCATTCTCTCTGCCTGGCAGGGGCCCAGCTAGCCACCAGCTGGCCCTCGACAGAGGCTGCACCAGCCAAGGGCCAAGCAGTGTGCCAGCTGGGGAGCTAGGCAGTTTTAGCAGCAGCAGCTCGCCAGCTGTCACCACTTAGTACATCTGCCAGTGGTAGTGGGAAGCATGCCCTCCGTTTGCCAGCAACTGCCCCAACCAAGGGGCCTGAGCCCAGCAGGATGAAAAGCCATTATCCCGGCCAAAGGCTGGTGACTCTACCAGCAAGAGATGAATGCACATAATCCTGTGGTTCCCATGGAGGGAGCAGCCTGCCAGACTGGGGCTTTAGTGCCTGGGACAATGTTCCTTCGACAGTCCCATCTCGCAGCAGCATCTTTCCTAAGGCTTTGACTGATGAAAGGAAGTTTGCAACTGGCTTCTGAGTCAAGCTATGGGCCCTTATGACACATGAGCATACACAGGGAACAGGCCGGCTAAAGAAAGAACTAACCAACGTGCCAACCAGCGGCTGGCTCATGAGCATTACCCTAGCCCAGCCAGCCCGCAGGCTGTGAGAATCTAGGTTAGCAGGATACTCACTCTCACCAGTCATCACCCCCTGAGTGTAGCGCTTGGGCAACATCCCGGTGTAGCCATAGAAACTGGATTGCTGCACTTCAAGGGAGAGGCACATGGAAGAAAGGAAGGAGAGGAGTCATTATTCCCTGCCCACAGTTTAGCTGGGATCCATCCCAGATACCCTGCGACGAGCTCTGCCTCAGGCGGCTTTGAATCCACGAAGTCATCAGCGCAATGCTGCAGACCATTCGGCCCGGTGCTGAGTTTCCCATTCAGGAAAGTGGTTGGGCTGCTCCGGGAGCACAGAGAAAGCAGAGGCTGAACTCCAAGCCCATGGAGGGATGCCAGCAGGTGCAAGCGCTTTCTGGACCGGAGCTGTAAGATGGGGTGGAAAGCTGCCAGCCTGCCTCCTGGAAGCACCCAGCCCTTCCAACACCACGTCACAGGGAGTAGCTTTCCCAGGTACTGAAAGCCAAGACTACCAGGGTGTTGGGGCAGGGTTGTAAATGGAACGACCATGCAAAATACAAGGCCTGAGCCCATCTGCCTACAGACGTGAAGAGAGAAGCAAGCACTTCGCACGCTGGAGTGTTGAAACAGCGTCATAAAGAAATCATAAAAAGGGCTGTAAACACACCTGGGGTTGTTAGTTCTAATTAGCTGCTGATGGCTGGGCTTTTACAGCATGAAATATCATAGGAGAACAGAAAGCACCCAGGTGGGGATGGTCTTGAGGCTGACATCCCGCTGCCCAGCAACTGAAACAGCCCTTGGAACGGCCCAACCGGGTCGCAAGGGAAAAAATTTTGCCTAACGCTACGGCCGCAGGGCCAGTGATGAAGTATTTCAGAAACAAACCAGAAATGCAGCAGCTGGAATAACAGACGGTGATCGAACAAGATCGTAAACATGTCTCCTTTGCCCAGGACATGGCGCCTCACACGGCCCAGCCTGGAAGAAGAGTGGAAGCCTTCTCCCACCCACCCATGCTCTCCTCTGGCAGCTCCACGGGCTGGTTCGCGTGCACTCTGCTCCACCTTGCTGCCTCCCAAAGGACGTAACAAACCAGCCGGGCCAGCTGGCTTGCAAGGCATGGAGCAGCAGCAAAGCTGATTCATGCCGGCGGGAGACTTGGCCCTGCTGACTGCAGCTGCTACGGGGCAGTTTGAGATGGGCTGGATGGGCTGGAGGGCCGTGCAAGCCAGGGGTGCAGAATGCATTATTTGGAGTTCAGGGAGAAACTGAGAACATGTCGCCTTGCAGAAATGCAAGCGTTTTATGCAGATTTATGCAGATGCAAGCAATTTTACCCCCAAATCATGTGGTTTTATGCTAATCAGCATTCCATCGGCTTTGGGTGGCAGGTGCACGTGATGCTTCAAGCACAATGCTCAAGGAGATGATGGGAGATTGGGGTGGGGGAGGCGGTGACTGAACCAACTGACAAGAAACAGTTGCTCACGGCCATGGTAACCAGCCACGAGCAAGAAGGACCAAAACCAAGGCAGACCTGCCCTGCTGTCTGCCCACAGCTGTGAGTGCCCTCACCTGCCCTAAGCCAGCCTCCACATACCTGTGCAGCCGAAGGCCACCACCCCGACTGCGATGAGGTTAATGGCATATGCCTGCCGGCGGGTGAAGAGCTCCAGCCAGACGTCGCATATGCTGACGAAGAGAAGGGGACCCAGGGCGAACAGGTACCCTGCAGCGAAAGAGCCAGGCATGGGGGTGAGGCAGGAGTAGAGCCATAAGCCAGCCTGGGGCCTGCAGCAGGACACTGGTGTGATGAGTTCAGCAGTCTCATGCTGGGCCCTGCATCATATGAATCCCTCTTAATGGATGAGTTTCTAGGCAACCAGGTGCCTGGGGTGTCCAAGTGTTTATATGATGGTATTTCTGAGTGCCCAGAGTGGTAGGTCCAACTGACTGCATGGCTAGTAGCCTGGGTGGTGCAGGTATCAGGACATGTATTGAAGTGATGGGGTAGCTGGTTGCTTCCACTGATGGCTGCTTGGGTGAACATACACCTTTCCGTGACAGCTGAGTGATAAAGTGGGAAGTAGGGGGCCAAAGAAGGGCAATGCCAGCTCTCTGCAGCTCAGTCAGTGGAGCAGCCATGGGGGAAAAGTCTGGCTCCTCTCCTGGCATGAGCTAGCCAGACATATTGCCCCAACAGGAGGTGAAAATAGCCAAAGCAGTACAGGAGCCCCATGGGAGTGAGAGGAAAGCAAGGGCCCTGACTTACCCACGGAGATCCGGGTGTGCAGACTCAGCATCTCCACCAGGGCGTTGTTCAGGATGACTGCAACCAAGGCTACCAGGATGTAGGTGAGGCTCATGTCAAACACGATGGATGTTCCTGCAGAGCCACATGGGAAGAGAGGCTAGTTGCAAGGCTCAGAGAGCGGAGCCAGGTAGGATGCTCTGATTTCAAGGGCTCGCTCCAGGCTAGCAATACACGTGATTCTGTCTCATCAGTGGGGCAACCAGCATTGGGGCCTGGGGGCTGCTCTGCTTCTTCCCCAAAATGCTCATCAGGGTCGGACTCGATGACCTTCTAAGGTCTCTTCTGACCCTACCATCTATGAATCTAGCACCTGGGTATGAAGGCCGCTGTTGTTTGGGCGACTCAGTTGCAGCCTCTAGTGGTTCAAGGCCGCATTGGTTAGGGACAGCCAGGAACAAGAAACCCTGCCTGGCTCTGGGGGAGCAGTAGAAGGATGTGGAAAGATGCAGTATGGGAAAGCATGTTTGGGGGACCCCTCACACCAGCTAAGGTACAGATGCAGCCACCTGTAACCACACCATGTACCCCGGGGCACAAACAAGGGGGCTTCTCTGTCTGCGTTTGCATGAGCAGTCTGGCTGTTAGATGTCTAAGCTGTCACCTGTACCTACAACTCTGTCCCCTCATATTGGTGCCCTGCAGAGTGGGAGGCTATGACAAGTCCCATGTCAAAACCAGTCCTGAACACCAGGAGAATACAGCAGCTGACATGCGTACACTATGACAGCCACTGCCTATGCCATGTCCTGGGTTCCTGCAGCTGGGCACAGCCATGTTTGTGGCTGGTCTTTGCTGTCAGAAATCCTGGCTGCTCGCTTTCAAAGCCAACCTAACGTGGTGGTTTACACACAGGTCTTGAATAGGCGTCCTGTCCAGGCGGATCTCCCTCCACTTGTCAAACCAGCCACCTCCCACCCACAAGGGCTTGGAAGCAACAGGTTACACCAACCCCCTGCGTGACACGGAGGGAGCACAGACCAGCCAACTGCAAACTCCCATTGCTCCAATGGACGTACCTGGGTATTTATGATGCAGGTAGTCCACGTCAGTGATAAAGCTGTTATAGGGCAGGAGGAAGCCCACTCCTGCCAGCAGCATGGCAAAGTAAATCCCATGGTATTGGTCCTGCGGCTCAGGGTCCTCAGAGGCTGTACCCCAAAGTGAGACAGAAGGAGCAGGTGACAGTGATGCCAAGGGCCTGACCCATGGTCATGCAAACAGGCTGGGCAGTGTATCAAGAGTAGGGGCTACTGCCCACCCCTGTGAAGTACAGGATAGCTAGCACATGCCGATACATGCGTAATGAGGGCAGAATGATCACCGGGCTGGTGCCTGGCTGGGATGCAGGATGAGCCTGTTGGACAATACAGGTGAGCAACATGGACAGGAGCTAAGAGGAGTCCGAGGGTCTGCCTGTCTTCTGCAGCCTCTTGTAGACAAGAGAGAGGTGAGGATCTCTTGCATAGTCACTGCATGTGAGTCTTCCCCACTAGGAGGAAAGACACTATCCATTTAGCTCTGCATGCCATACTCTCAAGAGCTGCCCTCAAAGCCAGACCACCAACCATCTAGCCTGGGATCTCAGCTTTCATAACCCGTGCTAGAGGAACGTGCATGAAACCAATTTTGCGGCCAATGACACAACATGCTGTTGTGAGGGGATTATCTTCCTAAACCCTCTCATGTATGTATCTATGACAGCGGTTTTCAATCTTCTTTCATTTGGGAACCCTAAAAAAATTTCAAATGGAGGTGCGGACCCCTTTGAATTGTATGTGTGGGCATTCACATACTTTCGACTGATCCTAGTCATCTTTCGCAACCCCCTTCAGATATATTCTGCAGACCCCCAGGGGTTTGTGGGCCACTGGTTGAAAACCGCTGATCTACGAACATACATCTCTCTCTTTCAGAAAGAGAACAAGGAGGGACATTCTTCCATTACTTCATTTTGTTCTTTTTTACTTATCCACTTCTTTTATTTAATTCTGGGATTATTTATTTTTCATGAATACACCCTGTACAAAGAGAGGTTATGGATTTCCTCAACAGATTCAGTCTTTCCCAGACTGCTGATCCCTGCTCAGCAACATTCCTGCTACACATGAACCCCCCAAAAAGGCACTGTCTCCGGTGCCATCACAGCTGGGCTGTATGCACAGCGAGACGCCTCAAAAAACTGCAGCTGCTGTATTATATCTTAGCCCTTGCCAGAAGGCTGCCCACTGGCGAGTGCCCTACATCACCGTGAAGTTAAGCAGCCCTCAGACCCCAGCTTCTCATTACATGGCCCTGAAAGCACTGAGGATTAAACCCCAAATGCAGGTCCTGTATTAAACGCTGTAAATGCTGGTATTAACGTTCGGTGATATTAGAGCACACAACAGAAGGTTTCCACAATGCACTGAGCACTGGGCATACCGACAACACTCTATAAATAATAAGCGCCCCCAGCCTGGATAAATTCCATCCCACAAATGGAGGCATTTCAACAGCAACCTGGGAGGCACAAAAATACCAGGCTTTGATGTCCAAAGTATTACAATAACCCGGCATGTAACAACAAAGTGCCCACTTCTATTTGATGTTCGAGAGCGATTCAGTGGAGGTACGGGCCTACTATTAATTATGCAGACTTAGGGCCAGCAGCCCAGCTAACGTAAACCCCCTGACTGTCCCGATTTACATCAGTTGAGGCTCCGGCAGCCACTCAAATGAACCAGGCTGCAAGATGCGTGTAACAGACTCTCCTACGGGATCCTTGCGGCCAGGTGAGTGATTGCTCTTTAATTGCTTTCCAGTCATCTGGGAACACTGCATAGTTATGATGAGTGTGGTGCCGTGCGGGGAAGATCCCGTGGATCAGCACAGGAAAGCAGTGATGCGTGTGCACTACAAATACAGCACCAGTGTGCATACACTGCAAATGCCAAGGCCCCCCAGAAAAGCTCCTCACAGCGAGCAGGGAAAAGCCAGTGGCGGAAACAGAGCCCAGGCAGGGGGGATGTCTCCCTCTGCCTGCTGCAGGCACAGGGTGGGGGGAGTGTCTCGGCCCCAGCGATGGCACAGACTGGCACATGTACAGCAGGCTGTTCTTTCACTGTTTCCCCCCATCTCCATCACCCCTCGTTCCCTCCTTCACACCCTGGGAGGCAAGTCAGCCTCCTGCCATGCTCTCACCTGGCTCCATGAAGGTAAGGACCCCCTTTGCCTGGTTCCCCTTTGCCTGGAGCTCCTCCTCCTCCAACTGGTAGCTGTCGAAGCTGAAGCTCATCACCACATTCCCCTCAGGGGTCACCACAGGGCTGAGATCCTTGAAGCGATCCGCTCCAACAGAGCCCATGGCTGCTGACCTAGACTGAGAAAGGACAGCAACAGGCTCTTAGTCTAGCTAGATGGACAAGCCATCCCAGCTCATGTTCCCTGGGGGGCCAGGGAGGTCTTCCGGGGTTTACTGTCCCCAAAGCCTGGGAAGGCAGAAAGTTCCTGTCCCTCTCAGATGTCCCCTGTGCTCGTTGCAGCCAGGCCATCACAGCAGGACCCCGGCACGATTCAGGCCGTGGTTCTGTTCACGGGGATCTCAAACCAGGCACATGCCACCTTGCACTTGTTGCATGCATCTGTGCCTTCCATGGGCTCCACATGAAGGTGGATCTGGGCTTTGTGCCTGACAGCCATCCCCCAGTCCAGGCACTGCCCTCTCTGCCTGACAGCACTCAACGGTGTTAGCAAGTTCAAGAGCAGAGACAGCGGTGCCATGCTGGGGTCCCTAGAGAGCTTGCCCCGGGTTCCTGTGCAGCTAGGAGATGGGGTGGGAGCAAGGATCATCACCACTGAGGTCTGCATGTGACAAGCCCTCCCTTAAAGCCTCCAAGCCTGCTTAGCTGGCCAGACAGGCTGTAGCAGCTCAGCGAGGCTTTCATGCTGACAGCCCGGCTTCTCCCACCGCGCGCCGGGTGTCAGGGTGACAACAACAGCCGCCATCAGGGGCTTGTGGTGGTGCTGGGGTTTTATTCGCATCCTCTCACACCTGCTTTGCAGCAGCCTGTCACATGCTCCAGTGCCTGCAAACAAACCAGAGCCAGATTCCCTCCTTCTTCTTCTCTCCTTTGAAATAACTGGTGGCACGACCGAGCCCAGATCACCGAGCAAAACAGGCTGGGCTTCGATTTTATATCATGCAGGCAGCAGAGCTGAGGAGGGCCAGGCAGTGGGGGGAACACCGTGCCAGTCAACCACTGATGGGAGGTGTGAGGCTGGAGTCAGAGCAAGTCTAGTCCTGGCTCTGCTACTTACTCACTGTTTCCACTTGGGAAAGTTTGTTAACCCCTATGCCTCAGTTTACCTTCTGTGTCACAAGGGGCTCATTCCTACCTGACTAGCTCATGTAAAGGTATGTGAGCGCCTTGGGTGAAGGACACCAGAGAAGGGCAAATCATTGTATCCAACCTGTGCCCCCCCACCCCAGACTTTGTGGGAGCTACCGTGCTGCCAGGGGTTGAGCTCTGTAGCAGCAGCAAACAGAAAACTCAGACTCCCCCTGCCCTGCCGCCTGGAGCGAAAGAAGCACCCGCACTAACTGTGAGCACTGCGAGGTACTGTATCTTCTAGCATACACCATGCCCCCTGAGTAAGCTACGTACCCTGTTTTAGAAAGGCTGCATAAAGAAAATGAGGTTTTCCTTGAAAAGCCTGGTAAGCAGCAGTAAGTAACTGGGTAGCAGCAGCCGGAGAGCCCAATATGCTCATCGCACTGCTCTCTGTGCCTTACTTTTAATCCCCCTCCACCAAGGCATGTCTACACATTCATGAACGCACCTCAGATATTGCACACGTGTTTGCTTAATAAAGTCCTGACTAAACGCACAGTAAACTAGAGCTACTGTGCAGTAGCGCTGGTGCACGGTTATTCTGTGACGCTTACTGCACATTAGCTTAATAACACTGCACAGTGGGCTATTAGCACAGTTTTTAACTGCCCCACTACTGTACAGTGTTATTTGGCTAATGTGCAGTGTCTTGTGTAGACACACCCACAGAGACTTAAGCAGCAGAAACAACTATTGCTGTATTTCCTTGCACCCCAATCTCCAGCAATTGCTTCTTGGGAAGAAAATAGGTGAATATGTGAAAATATGGCAATTCACTTAAGAGTGAGAAGGAGATTCCTGTTCCCTCCAGCAGCGGGCAGTGGTGCACATACCCCACCTATGCATGGAGCACAAGTAGCCCCCAGATCTCCCACCTGCTCAGAGACCTTACGCTCCTGGAGAATGGGGGTTTCCGCACAGCCCAACTCAGTTGTGCCTTATTGAAACGTGCTCATGCACCCTCCCATAAAGTGGTTTCTGTCAATTTTTGGGAAGTCAAAGCCATCTTCCTGCAAAGCTCCCAGGACCACAGAGTGAGGGAGCTTGGGGTGGGAGTGGGCAGGATGGTGACTTCTAACTCCCTCTGCCACATGCACTGCGCAGCTGGTCCCCTCGGCGGTGGGAAGAGCAGGGAGAGCCAGAGATCCTGGTGATGCTCAGGCCCCAGAGCAACAGGGCATCATCATACACACCAACACAAGGTGAGGGCACACGGGGCATGAAACACCACCTCCCTGATCTGGCACCGAGCACAAGCCTGATTATCCTCAGAGCTGGGAGAGTTTCTGTGGGAATGGGGGGAGCAGGGAGAGGCTGCACCGTGTCACATACCCCTCACAGAGCATCCCGGGGCCAGGTCAGAGCATGGGGCCAGCCTGCCAGTATCCCATGCCCAGAACATTGCCATCCCCCGGGGCTGCACCCAATGCCTCCCTCTGCTATAGCACACAGGAGGAGAAAAGAGGTCATCTAGTGCAGCCCCCTGCTCAAAGCAGGACCAGCCCCAACTGCATCAGTGCCTCTTTTTCCCCAAGAAGAGCCTCCAGCCCTGCTCTCTCTATCCATGCGCTCCTCCTGACCTCTCTGCTCCAGGACAGAGCTTCTCCTGGCAATCACTTCAGTCCCCTGCCCTGCTCTCTGCACCTATCCGACCCCCTCCCCAGCAAAAACTCCAGCAACAGTGGACTTGAGGGTGATTAGGCAAAGCGCGGCTAGCTGGACAAGGCGGCACGGGACACATCACAGTAGAGGAGCCCCACAAGTGCTGCCAGGGCCGATACAGGCCATCGGGTCCAGACCCCAAACCCGCATCCATCACCCCGTGCTGGAGAACCGGGAACCTCGTTAAACCGAAGGGGACAGTGCCGCAGGAGAGCCAGCCGACCTCCAGGTGGCACTCGGTACCACCGCACGCAGGGACGCGCCCTGGGCTTGGGAGTTTTTCGGCTTTCATTGGTTTCCCATGATGGGGATGTGCCTGGCTGCCTCCCTGTCCCCACGAGCTGAGTGCACACTGAATGTCCGACGGCTCGGGAAATCTAGCCGCACAAGGGGAAAGCCCACGGGCACCCGGCAGTCCCGCGGGGCAGTGGCAGGCGAGGTCCCCAAACCGACCACAGGGAAGTTAAAGACTCCAGGCAACGAGCTGGCCTGCACCGAGCATCTTCATCCGCGGCCTAGCGTTTCTGGCCACCGCTTCTCCGTGGCGCAAAGAGGCAGGGACCAGCTCGCTCGCTACCTGCTCCCCCGAAGAGCACGCTGGGGCCCTGAACTGGCTTAGCCTGGTGGGACGTGGAGCAGCCCTAGACAAGCCACCTCAGAGCATCACCTTAGAGCTGCAAGAGCAACTTGCCCCTGAGCTCTCACGAGGCCCTGCCAGGAGAGGCTCCTGGCCCGGCCCGCGGGGTCCCCCCACGTGAGCCCCACTCCCCTCGCGGGTGCCATGAGCCAGTCCTTTGGGGTCAGTTCTTGCGACTGCCTGTCAGGAAGGTGCTGACCCGCCGGCGGGCTCGTCTGGTGCGAGGAGCCGAGAGGAAAGCGCCTCCCCTCCCTGTCGTGTCTGCCTGACCAAGTCGTGCTCCAGCAGCGCCACGGAGTGACAAGAGCCCGCGTGAAACGCAGACAGAGCCAAGCCCACTCACCGCGCACACCTGATGCTAGAAGAGAAACTCCGCCGAGACGCCCGGGCGCCAAGACATCTCCGGACCCGCCGCCGCGCCGCCTTCTCGCACCCAGCAGCTGCGGCCCGCGGAGAGCGGCCGGGCCCGCGCCGCC